TATATATATATATATTTATATATATGTGTATGTGTGTATATGTATACACATACGCACGTACACGTACACACACTTAAACACCGTGACTCGTAGCTTGCCTGATAAATGTTACGCTATCCTAGAAGTCGTGTTAATTACTAGGTGGATGCGAGTTGCTCGATCGTGCGCGATCGTCACCGTCGTCGTTACAGTGGATTACACCGAACTCTGCAGGACACCGTGATAGTACACCGAAAACATCCAATCTTCACTTCGCGGTTTATCTTGCTTCCACTTTATATATCTCAACTCATTTCTCGTAAAAAATGTATACCATCGATAGCGACGATAGCTCACACTCTTGATCGTCGGTGGAAATCTTGTAAAGAAAGGAAGAGAATGTATTATTAGAAAGATACTTTATAGCTCAAAATTTTTCAAGTGTACATGACGATCTACTGAGACGCATGGCACATATTCTGAATTTAACAAAATTTGAGTTTTGTTTAGAGTATAAATATTCACAATATAATATTTGTTTGTATATTATTTTAGCGATAAAAATTAAAAGCATCTTTTCGGTCACTCGAAGATAAGGATAAACAGCATCTCCAATTATCATAATTTATTTTGGAAAATATCGTATCAAGCTATTTGACTTTTATACATTTTTGCATAATTGATTATGTATATTTCTTGAAAACTATAAATGCTTTTTTTCCCACGAACGATCAATCTTTTCTCAATCGCATCGAGCGGTATTACTCCTATTTATAGTCCAACGGCAGATTTCGTGTCAGCGAAATTAAGCTAATCTAAAAATTCATTTTTCGATCTTAACAATCTCGCAGTTAGTATAACTGTCTCGAGACAGAAAGAAAATCTGTGTGCGCACACGCAGATTTGTTTCTATATCTGATCAAAACTACTCGTTCACATTCTCAATGTAACTTTCTCGATTAGGCTGCATCGTAGGCGAATTTTTATCAATAAATAAGTTAATCATCGAAAAAACCGTGCCTCCCAATAAACCGTGCACACTCGGTGATACAATCGAATTTTTGTGATAAATACATTTCGTACAGTAAACTCGAGTAAAGTTAACATTTACTCCGGTATGGCAACAACAATTAAATTTGTTTTATTAGCTTCTATCATAAGTAAAAATAATTTATCTAGTTCACGAATCCGCACGTAAACTAGAAAACGCGAGAAACTTTTTAATCAGTCGTTTCGAATGTTACGACGGTTCCAAAAATGAAGATGGTTCATTTTTCGTCGAAGTCATATAAATTGGTTGATTCGCGTTTTCTTTCGAGTCGATCGGGTTTACATAGCTGATTTTACGAGTCACTAATTATACAGTAATGTGTAGGGTTAATTCTAGACGTAAGCGATGATATAAAGAACGAATTCGTAAAAGTAAGAGAGTGCAGATGACACATACACAGTTTATATTGAATGCAAAGAAAGTTAATTTTTAACCGTTTTAAATATCAATAAATATCATCTTTTTAATTAGAAAATTATGAAACTTAGACAATATTATATATTCGAAACATTATAGGCATGTATAACATCCAATAATTTTAAGTTTATGTAACTTTTATATTATTTTGGGATTTTATCAGTTTTTCCAATTTCAAAAAGAACAAAAGCAATTATTTAACAGTTAATTAATTAGCATGAATTATTTATATATACATTCAAGTTAAACGTAAACTCTAAGTTAATTTATAATAAATCTTGAATATATATCATGTATCATAAATGTGGTTTCAGGAGCATATTCTACTCGACATGAACGAAATGAGCAAAACAGTTTATATAAATATTATTAAAAAAGTATATATGCCCAAAAATGGGAAAAGTGAGAAGCTCGCTAAGAAGACGAGTAGTGTATTTTAACTAGGGATGCTCACTTTAAACGTTTGGTTTAAGATTTGTTTTATTTCACTTTTATTTTCTACTGTTTTATATTGTTGAAAATAAAATAATACACTTTGTAATTAGCTTAAGTTCCAACCCCCAGTCATGATTGTAAACGACGTATTTTTGGACATATCTTTATATGAACATTTTTGCTAATTTTGATGAGTAGAATACGCTTCTGAAGTAGCAGCTCACATTTATGATAGATCCAGTATATACATATGTGCATTTGTCATTTGCATGAGTTTTGTCCACTTACAGTCGAGAAAGAACCCGCATCGTATAAATCGAACATCGAGAGCGACATACTCTTATAATTCTGGTTAGCCGAGAAATTTTTAATTGCAGGCGCGATTATTTGCCGACTTAAGTGTAATTCCTTAGACACCTAAACCAGTCACGAATTTACTGAAAACGAATTACGGATGCAATTAACGTCCCCAATATACGAGTGTTAAGTGTTACATTTAGATTGCATCCCAACTTGAAGTAATACTGCTTTCAACATCGACATGAATGCAATATAGGAACTTAATAAACAGTGCATGGCATATACATATATTAACTTAATTAATATATACAATTAAAAATAAATTGAAAATAATAATTTTATATATATATATAATTTGAAAGTCGCAAAAATAAAATAGCTTTCTGAAAGCAAGTATTACGACTATTCTCGTTTGTCCGCATTAAATGACTGATGAATTTGCCGATTTACGTACAAAACGTATATAACGTGTAAAAGTGATAAGATTATGATAAAAAAGTGATATTTCCGGTTACATTTTTTCTGATCGAGAAAATTTCTAAAATTTTATCATACAGATTATACAATTGAAGCGATTTGTTTCCAGGAGCAAGATCTGAATCAGTCGTTTAAATCAGTCACTCAAACATTCTTACTTCCAGTTTTCTTTTTATCTATTTATTAATCATTCCGCGATCTAAATTTTGATATTTACATATCAATAACAAAGAAACGAAATTTCAACATAATTATACATATACAATAACACGAGAACATTTTGGTAATGTTATAGGAAAGGGCAATCATTTGTTGCAAATTTTATATTTAGAGATCGATTTGATATAAATAACAGCTGAATGAATAAAAAGTTTTAAAGAAGCTAGAAAAGTATACACACTGAATGGCATTAAAATAGTATGATTTATTTTGCTGTGCGTTGTATGTCTGAACGAATTTTTTTTTTTTTCAAAAATTAATATTTATTTTATCAATCTAGTAATAGGTGTCGAATTATATTAAATTTATTTATGAGATTTTCGTATTTTCAAAAACAATAAATAATTTAAAGATATTCTTTTGATATTAGCAAATTAAAAAATTGATTATATGTTGCTTCGAAGTCACATGAGCCGACAGAAGATTAAAACTAATTATTTCGCTCCAATTTATATAACTTTTTAATTTGTCTTTCAAAATAAAATTTATTTATAAAAAAACAATTCCGCGTAAACGTGAGAAAATAAAAAATCTTAAGAGATTATGCGAATTATGCTGCATAAAAAATTTAATTATTCGTATACATCTTTCATCAGTTGCTACATTTGTATCGTTAGTATCTTTGGAGCACGCAGTACACATAATAGTTATGTACAATGCAAAAGATATGTATCTATATAAAGCTATTTTACTCATTTACGATGAATTAACCCCTTAAGTCAAGTATTCATTACAGATCTGTAAGATTTCGCTATATATAAATATTACAACCGATAAATCATTGTTATCGCCACAATATCACACTTGACAATTAGATTTAAACAAATTTATTAGCAACTTATTTTCTATCATGAGCAAATTAATCCATTCGTCAACATATTTAGTTTTCTGTACTTTGAAAAAGGCATTCTCTATCGTTAAGGGGTTAAATCAAAACCGTATAGTGTAAACCAAAACATGAAAAAGGTGGTCAAATACTTTGCACAATTTTTCTACAGCTATCCGCTAAAAGCGGTGGTCAAATATGGCAATCAATAAGGGATCAGGATCATAGGGATGGTAGTAAAGCGAAGAAAAAAATTAAAACAACAAAATAAATATATATATTGTTATTTTCAACATACGCCACATGCTGATCGCATTGTAGATTAAGCGAAACAGAAAAGAAAATATAAGTATATTTAATGATACACGCCGACAATCTCCGCGGTTTCGCCGCCAGCTGTTTAAGGTCGCACAATAGCTGTTAAACAAAAAAAGAAAAAAAAAAGAAAAAAAAATCGATAAATAAAAGAACTAAACGAAAAGTGGAGGATTAAGAATAAACGCGTAACGGCGTTACACACGGCGACAGAAGGCAAATACCATCACATACGCAACACTCACGTCATATATATACATCCGTATACTCTGTACGTATGCAGAGATGTATACACAAAAGAAAAGAGCCGTACATTTAATGCCCGAATACAAATATGCGCGTCCGTACATACATACCCGCGTATGTGAAAAATTGCCAACGTGCATGTAAGGTAATAACAGCGATAAGTCTCGGTACTCTATTCGCATTCACGATTTTTCTTCGTCGAAGGTTAAATCGATTTAATTATAAGATTGGAATGAATCGCACTTTTCGGAGCATCTTGATGATCGTCGTGATTTTTAAGTTACATAGATGTTAATATCCATTATATATAAGAAATAGAAATTTGCCTCTCATGTATACTTTAATATATTGATAAAATACATCCATTATCTGAGAGTAAACTTGAGTTACAAATTCATAAAAATATTGCTCTTGAAAATTTATGTTTTGATGAATTACCCTTCGCGTGTCTAAGTACTCTTTACAGTTATTTAAGTACTGAATACCGCACCATATTTGCAATATTTAAAACGTTTAACATGTTGAGCGCTGAGCACAAATATTTGAAATACTGATCGAATTTCGATGTCTCATTTATTGGCATATATTAGTCTGTCGTTATCAAATTCCAGAATTTAATTAGCTATTAACATTTTAATTAAACTAATTACTAGATTTAATTAATTCTGTTATTATTATTTTGCTTTTGTTTTATAAGATTAAAATATGACTTCAGCAACGTGTTCACACACAATAACTGACACTCAACATATTAAAATCAAGAGTAGATTTGTACATTTGACTGGACACGATTTATCATCTCGTTAACTCCGATAGTAGCGCATTCCCATGTTTTAATAAAAAAAAAGACATACATTATCAGAGGAGAGAAACGCAGTGGACGAACAAACTAAAAAGAAAAGAACAAAAATTCGATTTAGCATGTAAGAAAACAAAAATAAAGAAGCACGACAGATTGTTAACGACGCAAATACGGTATACTCAACAGTATAACAATAATCTTACGAGATAATAGCTCAAACATTTAAAAACAAAAACATACTCTATCAACAGATTTAGATTACAATTGTAAAAATCGTATAATAATAATTCGGATAGACGGTCGTACCATTGAAACGTTGGTCGAATAGGATCACTAAATTGATCGGTTCATGTACAAAAGAGAAAGAGGGAAAACTTATATTACTAATGCAGCGCGAAACCAATTAAGTATTAAGTGGAAAGAACGAGCTAATTATTCATTATTAATTTCGAATTAACAATAAATCATGTTCAAGAAAATGGCTCATAATTAGCTCGTTCCTTCCATTTAGTAATTCACTACTGGAGCCTTCTACTTCGACTTCGTTAAGTATTATTCATAACGTTTATAAGATAAACAATATAAGAGTAAATATCTCTTAGTTACATATAAGAATGGAGGAAATAATTATATAATGATGCCAAAAATTTCTATCTATACTTATTTCCGTTTATTTGAGATACCGAATCTCCGTGTTTATATCTCTTACACATTACAAAAAACGTATTTTGTATGATCTGTTGCTAAAACTTTGCAAGCATTTGTAACTATTTTGACGAACGCTGAAAAAAAGACATTTCAAACATCACATTTCGCTTTCGTCAACCAATTTGTATCCAATCTTTGGGTGAGTAATATAAAAACAAACATAAAAATAAATCATTCGTCGTAAGTACATTATCCCGTATTATTATAACATATACTTCATTTGGAAATAACCGTCTCAACAAGTGATCCTTATTTGACCATGTAATGATCGCACATGATACGCGATTCGTTTTTACAGTGAATGAATTAAATCTTCATATATTAACGTCCTGTAAAAACGGACATAAAAGTACTTAAATAATTCTGATTCTGACTTAAACTGATAGTCTGCCATTGCCAACACTAAATTAGCGAGCGAGCGATCGATATTAGCAACAGTGTAATAGCTATTGATAATCACGATCTCTGTCGCGCGCAAAGTGCTAGTAATAATACATATAAAAGTAATAGTCATAATAGTAATAATAAATGCCAATGGTAGTATCGCCATCATTGGCACAAGTACTGATAATATAAACATATAATACTAATAATAAAATAATAATGACCGTATAATGATAATAGTAGTAGAATAATAATATTAAGTAATAATAAGAATTTTCTCTTATAATAATAGTAATCAAATTAGGATAACAGATATAACTAGTAAAGATAAACATAGCAATAATAATAGCCATAATAAACGTAGCACTAACAACAATGTCAACGCACGTGCTGAAGAACAATGATGAAAATGACACGAACATAGAAGCGATTTTTCAATCATTAAACAATATTTGTGACTAGGCTCTATTTGTATATACGCACAAGACTAATGTGTATGCGTGCTCGTTTTCTATTGTTAGTTAATCGATGTAGATCAGTGTTAACCATCCACGCATGGCTTAAGTGTGTTCAATATCAAAATTATTCCTGTCTAAAACTTATAATTTTTTACATATAATTTCGAGATTATTACTTATATGTCTGGTAACCATTTGTGCGCATACTAAAAAAGGTTTAATTGAGTTTTGCCGATTGTTATTGATGATATCATCTTTTGATGTTTAATTTTTATGATCGATAATTTGCTTAAAATTCATACTTATGTCGATTTAGAAGATGAAAAAATAATATTTATAATATTTTTGAACATATCAATAAAAATATTATCGTATAATTGTATGTTCTGTTTTTTTAAGTACACATAATTTAAGAATAAGCAACTGCTAACTTTGTCATTTATCGGTATTCACATTACATATGAGGCAATAATATAGATATTCTATACATAAATAGTCCTTATTCATGCGTAGACCTTTAACACTGACTTGGATTAGTCGTTAGGGTTGCGTAAGTACATCAATTAATTAAAGACACATCTTTGGTAATCCGGAGCACGACGTTCTCTACTACTCAAAGACAATCGCAAATGTTAGATAAAATTGCCCGCTTGCACACAGTTTATCTTGCAATGACGCCGAAGCTCCGTTTATTTGGTCTGACGCACGTGTGCATGTTAATGTTGCTGGTGACAAAACAAGGCTACGTACACTTAATCGTAAATGATAATTAACAATATGAAATGACAGAATTTATTCTGTTTTAAAAGATATATCAAAAAATTATTATTACATAAGCCCATATATATAACACAAATAAATTATCTTCTTATTCAATTTTCAAGTCAGAAATGACATTGCCTATTCTACTTAAAATATTCCAAAAAAAGATAAAAAGGCAATATATATCCATATTTTTATATTTATCCATATATTTTTACAAAGACAATAGAAATAGGTCCTGGGTCCTGCCATTCAATAATTGAGTGCACGCAAACTTGTTTTGCTTAATATAGACAAGACTATGCGAGAAAAGAAATAAATTGAAGGATATGTATTTTATCGAAACTGGAAATGTGGATTTGTGCGATTACGAAAAGTGACATGATAATAGTGAAAGGATAGTTGCGCAAGATTCTGTCGCTTCGATAATGTGGCGAACAAATTTCGAGAAAAGACGGTTTTTAATGGTTTTGGACTCGTGGAAAATAGAAAATGTATTGAGATAAGAATATTTTTAATACTCGTGCGTTTAACTCATAAAAACGGAAAAGTAAGATCCAAATAAACAGAGAATAATAATTTCAAAGTATAAATCATATATGAGAGAAAAAAATCTACTTTGTATTAATTCAGATTCTACAAAATGTTAATTCTTATTATGCAACGTAATCTAATTAAACGCGATCGATTAAAAAATGTCTCACATTTTCATGTTAAATTAACATCCACGAAGGCATTTTTACATCCAGACTAGAGTACTTAAAATGACTTCTTTTTAATCACTAACCCTGTATATATTATCCTTGTACGATCTTGATTTGTTTCGTTCGAATACAATCATCGCACAGCTTCGTCGTGCAACCAATTTTCACGATGTTCGTCCAGCTGAAAATATCTACACTAATCGTTTTATCACGTGTTTTCGGAAATATTTCACTCTAAATTTCATTCATATATTATCTGCACTTAAAAAGCAAGATGTATAAATCTATTTTAATCAAAGTCAATTGCACTAATTGCAACGTAAATATCGATACGTTTAATTTTTCTCTCGATAAGTTATAATAAAAATTGTGATCATCAATCATTTTAGAAATAATGCAAAGATAAGTCTTACGTAGAATCACATTGGTTTATTAATTTAATTATCCAAAATCAACAAACCGATTCATGATCGACAGAACTTTTGAAAAATCAAAATGTTTTCCCGTTTATTTCCAAGAAGCAAATTCATCGAATTTGTTTCACATTATTAAGAATGAGTTATTCCAAAATATTTTGCATTGATGTAAGCCTATTCGATAAGCGAATCTCTTTCTGATTGCGAAATTGTTTCAAAATTATTATAGTAACTCTTTTTTTTTATTTTACAGTATATCACTTTGACGAGAGACTTTTAGTTCGTTGAATCGATCCAGATAATTCGTCCGATACGTAACTTTCGTGAAGACCTAAGATTAATCGCATAAAGTGCAATTTATGAATTCGACGAAGAAGACGATGCAAGTGTGCGGTCGGGAAACTCGTCCGATATTAAAATTCATTAAAAATTTGTCGCATCTCGCGTACTTGTCTATATTCGCTTTGACGGCGTTATAGAATTGGATGCACGAATGTGTGACGCCTGATGTGCTATTCCTGAGCGACCCGGCCCAGTTTCGGTATGAAACCACGGTCCACTGTACGTTACAATCTTATCACAAAGTCATTTACTACAAAATGTCTCTTATATTCATTTCTTCGCTGTCTATCGGTTTTCCTTTTGTTTTGTTTCAATTCTTTGTATCCGTTTCGTATATTTGCACGATTTAAGCCTAAGAAATCGCATGCGCATCGGTCCCGCACGATCATTGTTCGTCCGTTCGCATTTCCCTTTCCAGCCTCCGTCTCTCGTGCTTCTTCACACACACATACATCTATATCTCGTCTACACGCCCAATTTGCCGCGATACATACACACTTATATATGCATATGTATACCTATGTATAAACAGGCGCTGCGAGGCGTTGACAGCGATCCCGATAGTAGAGCCGATAAAAATAGTTCTCAGTCGATAATTCGATTTATGACCATGTATTTATATAACTATGTATTATGTATAGTTATGTATAAGAAAAATTTCTCGCGCACAGCTCGTGCCGCACGTTCCCCGCTTTCGTCATTTCGTTCTCTTTCATCGCGAGACGTGGAGCCGTCGCGTCGCCTAGTTTAAGTCAACCACGAGAATCCTCGTCGCGGCTCTCAATACGCACGCACATACCATACACACGTAACACATATATGCGTATGTACATATATGCATAATATATTTATATATCTTGTATATACAAGGGCGGGGGAGGAGAGATTGGACAGACAATTAACATAGCCACGTTTAGCTTCGCTTGAGGAACCCAGGTCGGTCGGTCGGTCGGTGGATCGTCTTCCTTTCCGTCCCCACTTTCTCGGTCTTCTTCATCGTGTCCCTCCGCATTTCGTGCGCACTTTCTCGGTCGCGACTTTTCGCTCGCTCAGCATCTCCTGCGTGGATTCGATCGTCCGGTGTTCTACATGCGCAGGTGTGCGATCGAGGGAACGAGTAACCGTTCGAGAATCGGCGAGGCAATCCTCTCGGTGCGATCGCGAGGATATGAACGATGTGTCGCGACCTCGTGGACAGGCGTGTAAAGGGCGCGCGAGAGGTTGAGGGAATGAAATGAACAGATAAAGAGAAGAGGTCGACAAGGCGGAGGATCTTACGGCAGAAGTGAGAGCGCGTGGGCGTGGGTTGCTCTTTGTACAGGCACCGACAGACACAGATAGACTGATCGAGAAACTGACCGGGGAATTGTGACTGATCGATCGACCGGTCGAGCAAACGACCGGTACCGATTTGACTGACTGAGACTGACATGGCACGGCGACTCCGATCGAGAGTACACGGTCACAACGTCACAGGCCACCTGCTGGCACACAAACAAACACACGGACATGTTAGTCACCACCACACACCAGATATGAAAGGTTTCGTCCCCGAGCAAACGCGCGCGGTGACGGCTCCTCCGAGGCCCCGCGAAAATCTACCGCGCCCAACTGCCTCTGCAGACTCGCATTTCAGATAACGACGGATAACAACAAATATATCATACAAATTTTTAATTTGTTTGGTCGTTATTATCCGTCACAAAACGAACATGCCTTATAATCAGTTCCTTAAAGAAGAAAACTTCACAGAATAAATATATTATCAGAAGATAAAATATATAATTTCGCGACTTCTTACGTTGATGATTAAAAAATAACGAGTCAATAAAATGACTTCGAGATACTGCTTTATTGAGTTATAATACCGTTTCGATAAAACAATATCTCGAGAGCTACGTGTCTGATGAGACAATTAGCGTACAAAAGATATGGAATAAGGATGATCGAGATACATTGAAGAGTCAAACGAAATTGTTTGCGGGGCCTTCAAACGGAGACGACACCATGCATGCGTGTACGCGAGTACTTTGCCGAGTCGTCCTTTTTAAACACGAGCAACGAGCGTCCACTTTATTCAGCTTGACAGACAGTCACAAGGAAAGAGAAACAAAGTGTTCGACAGCGCATCTGTGAAAACTCGTTGCTAATGCAACGCAATCGGTGAAATTCGCCAATAGTTTCCAGATTCGGATTACAGATAACAACTGCAGTAGTCAGTTCAGTTACATATGGTATCTTCTACAGCACTTTTATGGCCGAAAACAGTTTGTTATCGATTACTAAACCAAAATCAACATTCTTCTCGAACATAAATTAGTTTCTTATCTTAATGGAAACAATTGGCTCACCCACCGCCTGTGACGATCGGTTGCATATCCCTCCCCCCTCCCCCCAAAAAAATCACATAGCAATGTTAGTATTACTAACTAATAAAGCGTCGTAGCGTGATTAACCATAGAAAACTTAGTGATATTATTATCACGTGAAAAACGTATCGAATTCTGTGCGCCTCGAACAATAAAGGAGATACACGCGATATAGCTGCTGACATAATTACAATGAGTGAGATAGATCTTTGCGTTTATCGCTCCGTATCTGCCGGCTGAATTATATCAGCTCAAACTACTACTGGTTATTGGTATAAAGAACAAGATAGAGAAATTAAAAAATAGAAAGAGATAAATTACAAAAAAAATATAAAAAAAAAAAAAAAAAAAACAGAGAGAAAAGTCAAATCGTCAAATGGTTACGAGGTACGGACTCGAACGCTGCGTGAAAATTCAAAGCAAAGTCACTAGTCTTACCCTCCTAAGGGAAAAGCTACGTTGTTAGTGAACTTCACGTACGTAATTTCACTTTGTGCAACAGTAAGTTAGCACAGAAAGCTTTACTGACAGCCTTTGCAACGAGATGTAGTTTGATTGCATCATCCGGGAACGTGCCGCCAGGCTTGCACCTCCGAGATTTGAAGATACGAACATATTTTCGAGACCGTGCGATAAGTACGGGCGGATGTTACGGGTGAATATTTGAAAAACCCCGTATTATACCGCTGCGCATTTAGCGATGAACATGGCTATTCCCACCATATGTTTAGATTACGTGCGTTCTTCGTGCTAGATAAACCGAATGCAGAAATGAATGAGCACGTTTAACGCTAAATGCGCGCCGCTAAAACCCATTTCCTGTGGGTATAATTTTAACCTGACATGAGCTTCAACCCGAAAATCGAATTACATTTAAACTTGAAGAGTCTTTATACGTTTCGTATAAACAGAGAAGTCTTTAGAAAGCGGCTAGAGCTATTTAGTTTGAAAACTGAATACCGATTGTAATTTTTGTGACGGCAAAAGTCGAATTAAGAGATTCGAAATGGATAGATATATCACAATCACATCACGAAGCCTTTACATGCAAATTTCTTTGTCTTCTATGAAAGCGTAATAAAGTATTCGCATATCTCTTGCATGCAAAATCCCTTATTTTTGACGAGAATATATAAACAGTACTCAACATATATATCAACGTTTCTTCGATTCGCAAGGGTGCTTTCGACATAAAAAAAGTTCATTTAATTCCTAAAAGAATTGATCGCGCGCGATTATAATTAATCTTAATCAATTAGATCTCGTCGGATTCACTAAATCTGAATGAGCTTTAGAAACATCGGTCGTAGTCTCCGAAATCGATCATCACAGGCTACGAAATCAAGTAGTTCGAAAGAATAATGAGTTAATACTGATTCATTAATCCTATCCCGTTTCCTGTTAAAATTACTGAAATGGATTGTCGAAAAAAAAGCGGGATTTCTATATTTAAACTCTGGCACTGGAAAAGTTAACAGACGTAACACGATATATAATCGCGATGTGGCACGGACGTGAACAGAATAGATAGATTGTTGGATTAAAAAAATATACTAAATGTGTTCACACATGGGCGGACCGGCAGGTAGAAGAGAGAAGACAGTTCGGCGGGACAGTTCGCACAAGCGACACGTTAAAAGAATAAATTACGTTCCTGCACCTCGGAAGAAAAGTCAGTCCGACGGAGACAAGAGAGTCTTCTGGATTATCACAGCCTCGTTTCGATAGGACGGCGAAGGTGTCGAGCGGCGACGTCTCCTCTTCGGCGTCTGATAGAACGCTCGATCATAGCCCGTTAATCTCGCTACCTTCATGGAAAATACTGCTTGACTAGAGAGTACCGTGGAATACTGCCACCTAATACTTTCGCATGTCTACCTAGACCTATCCGCTAGACGCGATTCCGCTGCGGAATAATCATCAACCATCGCGGTTGTTAATTAATTAAATGCGCGAGCGTCGTCCCGACTAAGGACGTCGTCGGGCCAAGGTGTCCGAGAAGTCCTTGGTATCTACCTACGAACGTTGTGTGACATCAGCTAGTATGGCTTGGAGGCGTCCTTGGACCGTTTCAACTGGACCTTCAGTCGCTTCATGCCAATCTGGAAACCGTGCATCGTTTGGATCGCCGCTTGCGCGCTCGACGCATTGTCATACGACACGAAACCTGAAATGACATTGCAAAATGCAGAATACCATTTCGTCCGTATTGCGTCCTATCACTCGTACGCACAACATTTATTTGTATGTTTAAATACTTGCATCTTATCCCGTTCGTTAACGTGAACTCGACTTACCAAAGCATTTACTCATGTGCGTGTGTTTATCTATGAAAACTTTGGCGGATATGACGTTGCCGAAGGGCAAAAAGGTAGAGATGAGGTCCGTGTCGCTGAATTCTTGCGGCAGGTGGTAGATAAAGAGATTGCAACCTTCGGGACCCTCGATCTGCTTGTCCGTGCTGCTGAACTTCGTCTTCTGCGCTGCCGCCGCCGCAGCAGCCGCAGCTGCCGTAAACGCGGGGAACCCTGAAATCCGAGTATGTTGTTGGTACTCGCGCTAGATTATCGCGAGGATCCAATCCCAGTCATATATTCTTCCAAGTGATGTAAATCTTATGTTGAAAGTCTCGCCAAGGGCAACGTATTTTTAAAAATAATTTTCGTAATCAGATCTTAATTGTAGATTATTATTAATTATTTCTCAAACTTGATTTATATCACTTTGCAATGAACAGTTCCGGTTCATCAATACAACTCTATGCATTGGCTTGGCACGTCCCAGCGTACAGAGACACACCAAATAAGTTTAACTATTGAATCTATATCTTAATCACTTCTATCTACTCTAAATAATATAAGCATATAAGCTCGTTACACGATGTATAAAATGAGAAATAAGTAATTATTATATGATATACAAAATATATACAGAATTAGGTATAAGAGAACGCAATTTTAAGCTCTCCAATTATACTCGCAACCGTGATACTATTACCACACACATATTATTTCCACTTGTTCGATTTTCACGAGTATATCTTGTGCGCTGGGATACATGGCTATTCCAATAGGCACATGCGAACCTATCGGTTGTTTTTCTTTCAAGCATTCATTTGGTTCACTTCCACATTCCGATACTTCCAGCTGCTAATTTGCTTAAATCGCAAATTAATCGGCCAATTTTAAAATCTCTCATATTTGGATTGATTTTACGTAATGTTCCATAGGGAAGATAAAAAATTATATAACTTGAGCTGGCGTTAAATACGCGATATCAAATGTGCGAAGATATAATAACAAACGCAAGGAAAACCTGCCAATTTTTATTTAAGAAGATAATAATTCTCTCTGACGTTTTAATAATAGTATTTTATTAATAGCATTTCGTAGCGTCAATCAGATTGTTTTGAATATTGACATTGAATATGACAATTCCGTGGCGCGCAAATGCATTAATTCGAAAGTCAACCATATGAAGGGCTTGACATTAAAACGTGGGACGATCCACAGAAATATAGATTCAGGCAATCTATTCATTATTACTCACTATGCAACTCTTTCTTTTCCACGGTCACCGTCGTCTTTCCAATGAGAGCTTTAATGCGCACAGTTTACTTATTAGAAAGTAACCTTTTGCGTATTTACGCGAAGATGCAGAAAGGCAGTGTGACTGCGTTTAACGATTTTCTGTGTACATCGAAAGTTGCTCGACAAGCCAAATAATTACCTGCATACTGCTGTAAGCTGGAATAGGCGTTGCTCAGCGAGTCCTGAAGCCCGTTTAACGGCGTCCCCGTCAAGGAATTGAGCGTGAGAGATGTTACAGGACTAAGACTGCCCCCAGTAGACCCTTGAAGATGAACATTACAGTTATTTTTTTACGGATTCTCTCAAGTATAAATCTCGATACCCAAGCTTTTAATTATTTTTGAGGCATGCCTCACGTGCTGCGACATCGCAAGAATGTCAGTCGCTTTATGTTTGTTATTACTATTAGAGGCAAAAAGCAACGTATTTGTGCAACATATTAATTCTATCAAATATTGCTATTTGATATTTATGTGAGAAAATTTATTTAAAACAGAAGCAAGAACAACTTTATTAAAAAATTTTGATGTACTCTTTATGGCAATCTTTCTTTGTAGATTACATTCATTAATTTTAAAAAGTCTCGATTTACAGTTAAAAATTTAAAATTTTAATTATGAATAATGACATTTTATTAATATTAAAATTGATATAGTAATAAAATTTATGATAATCTCATATCTCATCAGAATTATTAGTAAATCTTAATTAAATTGTTTCAGCGACGTGAAAATATCCATGTCCATTAACATGATTTTTTAAAATAGGAAATATACAAAAAAATTTAGAAATAAATCTGAAATATGCATAAATAAATAAAATTACAAACATTTTAGCGTGGCACATATAAAATATTTCGCTTGAGATAAGAATTTAATAAATATTTTAACAGTTTAAATTTAGAGCATATAAGAGCAATGTCATACTTCTTCGGTATAAAGATAGAAATTTGCTATATAACGAGGTATTAATGATAATGATTTTAAAAAATTTGAAAGTATAATACGTTTTCATGCACGATAATTTATATGGTGAAAATTCACGCGCCAATACCCGGGTTAATAAGCGTTTTACGAAATAGTCTTACTCTTCTTTTTTCATTATGCACAGGTATTGTCGCCGATTAAATTCTTACTACGAAAAATCGTGCACCCATTAATTGCAATAAGCGTTTGTGCAAGAATCGTATATTCCCAATACATCTCAAATATACACACACAATGATTTAGATCATATACATATTGTTAAAAAACTACAATTAACGATTGATGGAGAATAAAAATCTACACGTTCCTAAAAGCATCAACATGGTTTCGCCAATTAATGCATTAATTCAATATCTGCGAAAATTTTTACAACAATTCAATGTGCAGCACCAATCAATTACTAATTGGCTTGGTTATTCATATTCGTGGATACAATATATGTACATAATGTTATAGAACTATCGTCACAACTTTTCAGCTTACAAAATTCAATGATTTGACATTCAGTACAACTTTCCTCAATGATTTTGATTAAACACTATTTTTTTTATCGTTTTTAATATTTTTCATATATTTCTCTAAAAAATATTTGTGATTTATACTTGAATTAAAACTAAAAATAAAATTCGCTTGATAGAGAAATAAGATTTTACTATCTTCTTTCATTTGCAAGCATTTTACTTATAAAAATGTATAATTATTAAGTACGTAAATCTATTTTAATGCCTTAAATAAACGGGCATGGGACACTTCATATATTCTTTAAATCCTTTGAAGTTTTTATAACTGAGTACTTATACAAGAGCACTATGATATGTACAAAACTCAAAATATAGCATTGGTTGAAGCAGGGGAGACCCGCATGAGTAACGAAATCTACAGCCAACAATAATTGTCAATATTGCATTACAATATACAGAAGACAATAATAAAAAATATACAAATGTAATAGAGAGGAGAAGTGACAAGAAAGGAATTCGAAAGGAAGATATATTATACTGTGATACACGATAAAGAGAATGCGAGCCAAACAATTTCTCTTCCTATTGAGTATCTCACCTGTATTTCCTGTTTTTCCCAGAAGAGCAGCTACGCACGAAAAAAAAATACGCAGCGTTAAAATTGTGATGTACGTTTACATAAAATAAAAGAAACGTAAAGTATGCGATTGTAATGCCATTCGCGCGTTATGACATATCTAGCGCGTTCTAAAAATAATAGAATATATTTCTACCTGCAGCTTAAGATGGTTGTATACAAATTTACATAATAGCATATATGGAAACTTCACAATTAAACAATCGGTAAGTATAATTTCTGCGGGAAAATATGCCATACGCTTTTATGTAAATTTCTATGCAATATTATCTATCATACATATATTGTGATTCTAATTTTTGTATTGTATATGATTAATTTTATTTAATAAATTTTTATACAAAATTAAAAACATAATAAATAATAAAAGTTTTATAGTAAGTTCTTGAAACAGAAATCATTAGTAAATTTTTGACAAATAAAACTCGATCGTCGCGTAATTAAAAATGTACGATTTTTAATATATATCGGAAAAATCTTTATATATATCTAATTCTTTCTCGTAATTAGCGTTAATTGAAATTTTTTCGAAACATTTGCTTTGATATCTTGTACTCGGATAATATAATCCTTATTAATTACGATATAGTCATACAAAACGAATTTATATCCATCATGAAAATTGATACATTGATAGAAACAGAGAATATGAGGAAATTCGAGAGGGAGGAGGGTAAGGGAGGGAAAGTGTAAGCACGTGCACACACGCACACGTGCACGTACACTATTAAATAAGCGAAATGGGGAAATCAGACCATCAACAGGATTAGGGCCCCTTTTGCATGATCGAAATTAATTTAGTAATTGTTAATACTGTACCAGGCAATACGACACGTACATAGCGACATACCTGCTGTCGAATTCGCCAGGCCGCTTAATGCTGAAACACAAAACACGTTCGCGATATTAGCTAAAGCAGTCGATAATATGTACGTAGTATAATAACGTGAAACAAAGGCTTTGATGAAATTTTCCCGGCGATGCCGTTGATATTATATTTTTAATTGCCACTAAACAATTTGCAAAGTCAACAATTTCACTTGTATCAAATTAATACGATGGAATCAAGTTTGCAAGGCAAGCTGGTAACGTCTGCAAAAAAATATTTGTCTTTTGCTATCACGTTGTAACATAAGCAAATTTTTATTTGAATATTTTACTCGATAAAGTAATAAATAATCATTCTACGAAAACAATTTTATATTATAAATTGCAATAAATTGATAAAATTAACATTCACAAGTTAAAAACCACAATGAAAATGTTAAATATATTGTTAATAATTATACTTTTTAGTTTTATTTATTATAAATTAGTATAAAACAGTACCTTCAAATAACTAAACGCCAGCTTATATTAATAACTTAAATGTATCATCGATTATTCATTTATCCTTGATCATATGGATGACAATGAGTTACATAAATTATTGAAATAAATGCAAGAATATACATGCATATTGTTTCTAATCTTTTATCTTACAGTGTTAGAATTTACTATTTTTGTTCAATGTCGACTGGACTGTTCATTATAACTGTATGAAAAACTTGCTTCTGTGCAAATAATACTTGCACAACTCTTTATGTGTGAAAAACGCAATGAAGCAGTCTACATACTTAACTTACTTTTCTGTTGACTTTACATAAATCATAGAAGAAGCGTCATATCGTGTACATGCAAAATAACAAAGGTGTGTTAGTTTTGTTGATATGAATGAGAGGTGGTAATTACGCAACTAACTACGGAAACCGTACATCTTACCTGCAGACATTTGTACATTTACACGGTTCAGTGTGCACGCAATACGATGAAGATGTATGTTACTAAAATTTTCCATACGTTTCATTTAATATGCTGCCTTATATGGCCATTTAATGATCATGTTTCACGATTAATCATTCTTTCTTAACTATTGTGACAATAACTTTGTCAGTAATTGAAATATTAATCGCAATATCATTTAATTAGTTTAGCTAATTTACGTATCTAATAGATATTGCCACTTCAAAATTTCCTGTTTTTCAAAACGTAATGCGACTTGTAAATGTAAAACTAAAATTAAATGCCCGTTCGCAGAACATTTTTTTTCTCCCGACTGACTTCTAGGATATACTATACATAACTGTATGGTATATCCTAGGACACTTGTTCTCATCGTACCGTTATTACAATTACAGACTGTTAATACAGTTTGCGAAGACACATTTAAACACGCTGTCGCATTATTACTGTCATTGTAATCGCGGCACGACTTCGGCCGCTTTACCATGCATACCTACAAAAGCGGTGGACAGTTCACCCATTCGCCTGGAACTTTAACAACGCATGCAATCATTAAACTCCGACTACGCTCAAGCGGATTTACCGTCTACCGTCTACCGAGTAACATACGTGACGCATAAGCATACAGGTGTTTTGTACAATTGGTAGGAGGACAATATAACGTGGTCCGAAGTTATGCATATAATTCGAAGCACCGGACAGTTCCGAACGGAACCTACAGCTGCACATTAGTGTACATAATGTGTTCTCTGATTATGCGTCTCGCAAAATATTCTCTACTCACTGTTTGGCGACACCTGGAGATTGCCGTTTCCGCCGGTCATAGCTGCCAGAGTGACGAGGTTCTGCATACTCATTGGCGACACGCCCGCGTTCGCTGTAACATAAAGTGTCAGAATTTATTGTAGAAAGCCTTAATACTCTAGATTTATATACCATGACGATGAATATAGCGTATCATTTAATAGTTGGCGAAAAGAGACTTAAATCAAATTTTGCCTAATCTAAAATAATTTAACAGCACATCTTTCTAGAGCATTTATCCTTCTCAATGATACTTTTGGCGATATTAAGAATATTAACATTTTAATTACTGTTAAGTTTATGCGCTTTAAATATTTAGTTTACATAATTTGAGCTTTAAACTCTCTCTTCACTGCATATCGGAAGTAGGCTACATATCATTCTGCACGTTCGGTTCGTGTATATGTGAACTCATTGCGTGACACACGTACGTTATCGAGTGACCATACGTTCCGCAGCAATAAATTGTAAACATATGTGTCGGAATAAGGATAATGATAGACTCGTATAGAGGCATGTATGTCATCGTCCTGGCATCCTTCCCGGTCCCATTAAACGTAGAATTTTATTATTGCCTCTGGTAAGCTGGTGCAGGACGTTTCGTTATAACTTTCGAAAAGATATGACCCATGGGACGCGATCGCGCGCGGTGGAAGTTGGAGAACGTAAACGCGAAATAATATAATTTATTCTGACACCGATGTGAGACTGCGCGGACGAGTAATTTTAGCAAAGAAACGGATAAAATCTCACCTTCCTAGGCAAAGAGGATCGATCATATTCTATGATATTTTACATCGGAATGGCGCGGAATTGCGCGGTGCGCAATTGACGCCGATTGACATATTTTTTTATCAGAAACCGATCATTTCCCGAGGGGAATTATATATTTAAATTTACCCGCGCGCGAGATTTACGTTTTTAACTTGTTCGCGAAAATAGATCTTCTATAAGTACTGGAACACTAGTATAGAGTGGGGTCAAAAGGTGACGAGACGAAGTTAAACTTGCACATTTAAAAGAGATAAGTTTAAAGATTGCAAACGTCACAGTTATACTAATATTAGAAAGTGTGAAAGAACTGACGTAATCCGTATGATATAAATGTAAATGCACTGGCGGCTGGGTACATTTTAAACATACTATGTGCTATGTGATACTACAAAAATCTCTATCATTGATCACAAAAATATAAATTCGTATAAAATATATGAGTATCTATAAAGTACGACAAAAAGACAAAAAATATTATCAACTTTCTTAAATATCAAAATATAATTTTGCTCTTGTGATTAAAATGAAAAAAGATATATAAGTATGTATATATATACATATATACATAAAAACTTGCTTAAGATATATGACAATTATTTATCAATTTCAATATGTTCATGTATTGTCAATATATATACATGCTCTAATACGTCTTCACATAAAATTCAATAAAAATGTTTCGATGGTCATTAGAATAATGTTGCTGCGATAGACAACAGATACATGAGTTCATATCATAGAGTTTTCTCTCACTAATTTAAATAATAAATATTATTGAGAAGATTCAATCTCGTTTCAAGAGTTTCAAGAATTTCTGTTAATTTTTATTTAAATCTGTCGTCATGAAAAAGCGAAAACTGATTAAGCGCAAATAAGCAAAAATAAAAGAATAATAATCGACACTAACCATACTCACCAGCGGTGTTACTCAGGGACGCGAGGGTAGCTAGACTTTGCAGATTCGCGGGGTTGATCTCTGCCGGACTGGGCACAGCGGGGGGTGCCGCGTGCGCAGGTGTTGCCGCACCAAGGCCAAGGTGTTGTTGCAGTAGCAACTGATGTTGTACGTTCGACAATGCATTCGCCGCTCCCGCGTTCGCGGCGACCGGGGTCGCGGCACTCGTCGTCGCCTGCAACTGTTGCAGAAGCTGCAACGATGCGGGCGTCAAGGTATGCGCGTCGTTCTACAAATATAAACATAATTTTCATCAATCATTATCGCTGTCATGTCCCATAAAGTTGTAATGTACTCGTTTTGCAGCATTTACAGATCCGAGGACATTTTATCTTATAAGTCTGCTAAAAATCGTTAATTTATATACATAATTAGTATAAAATTTCTTTCATTTTAACTTAATTTAAATATCTTTAGATTTCTTATCAAGCCCTTCATCAAATTTCCGCTAAGAAAGGATCGATCGCAAATTTGTCAAAGGATACACTTGTGAAGCTTTATGCAAATCTCGTGAAACATTTAATGAAAACAAAGCTTTATAGTGGCTGTATACGTGTCCGAAGAATATAAGTTCGAAGAATACGAATTGTATTCCTCAAAAACGTCTTTTTTAAAGATATATTTTGCATAACAAAATTGAGATTGCTATGTAGGAAGTCACAAAGGATAGATAATGCATATGAATGTAAGACGCTCAAACGATAGAGCCATGAAGAGAGCTCTCGTTCTCGATGCAAATGGAATCTTTGATATCGGCCAAAGAGCTTTCATTATAAAATATTAAATACACGTACGGCTAGGTAATGCGGTGTGATGTTGACTCCCGCGATGTTCCAGAGATTCGACTGGATTTGCTGCATCCTCTTCTGGTCCTTTTCCTTTTGCGTGTCGGCGAATTTTACGACTAATGGCGACGAACAGCCCTGAAAATTGTACGACGCATTGATACGCATGTTACGTAATCGTAAACGATATGTGAAATGCAAAAAATGTATAAAAGAACGTTGCCTAGTATCACAATTAAGTTCCGATATCTCAAAACAAAAGTTATGGACAAAGCAAAATGTAATGCATGCAATGACAAATGGTCAAAATATTGAATTATGTAATAGAATGTCATAATTTTTCAAAAAGTTAAATTTTCTTTTAATGATGTGTACCATGATCTATCATGTATAAGAGAAGAGAATTTTAAAATCCTATATTATTATTGATTCAATCACGAGAGAATCATAAGATTTGTGAAAATAAATCTCGCTGTGTCTCGTACAATAATATATAAATATCTCAAAGCTCCAATAACTAATGTGATTGATAAGTATGAGAGATAGAGAGATTTGAAAGAAAACGGACAAATAATTACTTTTCCCATTTGCTTTCTATTTTAAGACATATCTCGAAACAGTGTCAATATTTCTGTGATTTAGATAATCAACCCAAATTCTTGAAAAAGTTTCTGTTACAATTTGACATTTCTCTCGTTAGCTGAGAACGTTCGTCGTACTTCGTACCGAGCGTCGTTTTACACCTGAAACCGACATACATTATTGGTTCAAGTCCAAGTTCAACATTGGCGTGAGAAAGGATTTGTCGGCGATCGAGCATTACATTGGCGGAAAGAGAAACTCATTCGACGGTACGCGAGCCTAGACGATATACACACGAATCACAAGGTCGATGCACCATGCACAATGCGCCTGCAATTGGAGACGCGAAATCGGCGTGCTGATGCCGGTTGCGCCGGTAGCGACGAATGAGCAAGTTCGAAGAACCTGCAGCCGGAAATATTCGTGATATTAAAGTGGAATTGCCTTCGTGCTCGCATGCCTTGGCACAACTCGCCTTTACCATTCGAAATAGTACGTTGCATAGGCGTACCGTCGCCAAATATATCTTGCGAGGTGGTTAATGAGGTTGTTAGGTATTTAAATGAGTCTCACATTAATGAAACCAAATTGTATGCCTAACAATGGAATACCATGGGGCGCATTGAATGAAAAGAAAAAGATCTTGATATTAATTAGACAATACTTATGGCTAAATATTTAATATCAAGTAGACAGTTAAATAAGAAAATAATTTATCATTCACTTTAGAACTCGAAAGAATTTTAGATACCATACTTATATCTATAGCGCAAAAAAATTCACAAAAAAATGTTAACATATTTATATTGAAAATAAATTAAACATAATCTAATGAAGATCAAATCATTATATAATATTTAAGAAATTAAGTATTAGTTATGTCTTGAAAATGTTTTTTTCTGTTGTAAATTTTTTGGAAAATTACCAGTCAGTGTAGCATCTATTATTTCCTTGTCAAAGGATATTCTTGTAGAGATTAGCAAAAAAAAGGATAGGCTATTCTTCTTACCCGATATAATTTGATAAACATACTTTTACCACGCAAATCGATAATGTCGTGTATTTCGTTTTACTATTTTCGAACGATGCCGAAAGCCATGGAGATCCGATAATTTACCTATTCACACCAATTCTAGCTTTGGTAGCCGAGGAGTACGGAGCGAGAAGGGGAGATGGAAAAGTCTTGGCGAGCTTTGAATCGCCAAGATGTCGACCAGTTCAGCCGTCTTTACTCTCTCGCTCGGTTTTAGTTACCCCGAGTTAAATCGGTATATTTCACCGAGGTGACTAGTCGGATTGTGGATGCACACGGATGTTTCATCGGGTGACACGGTGGCAATGAGCCAATACATTCGACGACTCGGTTGAATTGTCACGAAAAGAAACGATCTATGAAGACTTTGTGTGCGACCCGATCTGTGTGGTCACATCTGCCAGTCTTCACGACACTGTTTTCTCCGCTTAAAAGATCGAAGTCCTCGCGACCTAGTTCTTCCTTGCGATATAAATATGAGAGCAGATTGCATGTCCTTATTGAACTGCTCATTACTTCCACAAGCAACAAAGTTCTCATTATCTTTTACTTAATTATGGAAAACGTAAATGCAAAAAGGTTAATGTTGAACGGAAAGACGAAATCATTATTGAATGAGAGATCAATGAATGGTACGCTATTAAAGAAGCAAATGAATGAATAAAACACATTATTTTCTTACAAAAGTTGCATTATTTCTGTATGAGAAGTCGCCTATGTAGGTATTCTCAATTTATTATTAGAGATAAAATATCAGATGACGTTATATTTGAATTATTAATCGAGATGTAGTAAAGCTGCTAAAGTTGTAAACTATTAATAATTTGTATAAATTAGCTACGCGTAAAACTTCCGATTTAGGAATTCCTAACATCAAAATTAACAACTTTAATACTTTGACAGATAAAATTACATTAATTTCATTAATGTACGATTCATAACTTTTTATTCAAAATTAGAAACATTACTCAATTAATTATATACTTAAAGAATTAATAGCTCCAATCACTTTAAAGTTATAATAATTACAATAAATTTTTTCTTTAATTTTAATTTAAGAACAAATTAAAAAAATGTTGTGTAAACGTTACGTAAAGTGCTTCTTCCATCGTTTGTACTCACCTCCATTGTCTGGGAATGATGCAGAGCTTTGATGGCATTGATCGCGTACTGCTTACTAGCGTAGGTAACGAAGGCACAGGCTTTACTTTTCCCGGTACTGTCCCTCAGCACCGAGCATTCCTCGATCATTCCGTAAGCGCTAAACATGTTCCTAACGTCGTTTTCCGTGAATTTTTTCGATAGCATGCCGACGAACAGCTTGCGCTCTGTAATAATAAAACACAACTTCCATTAATAATTGCTTTGTGTGGTGTCACGTCATCATATGAAAAGTAAACGAGCGTATTTCGCGTTAGTAACATATGCGATCTCAATTGCAATAATGCAGTAATAGCGCCGGAAGACAATCGTCTTAAAGATAATCCTCGATTATCCTCAATAATGTGTGATTCATCCTCGCGTATAATCCTACAATTAGTCAGTGAGAAACGTGTCTGACTGACTAATCATGCAATCGAATAACGTAACTATAGTCTTATTATTAGCAAGATTGTGTTATTCTACGGAACTGCGTATAATGGATAAATTAAGTGTGTTACTCATTTATTACTTATTTATTGTGCTTCTTACAACTGGGTATTTTAATTTAATTGATATTTTATGGTTATATATTTTTTTGAATTATTACAGACGATCGAATGATATAAACTTCACTACTTTTTCTCTCTATTCTTTAAGTTTACGACGACTATGACAGTCAGAATGATTGATTATTTCATAAGTAGTAGCACTCGGCATTTTCAGTATGTCATTATGGTAGTAAAGTTTGCATAAGATTAAAAAAATAAGAATTATTGAACATAAGAAGAAAATTCTTTTATTAAGCGTTATGCAAGACATAATTTCGCTATTTTTATATCAAGTTCTGGTTATCTGAGCAAACTTATTAAAATTTTATAAATGGCATTCAACCATCATTCATAAAAGATTAATGTTTTGCAGATTAAAAACTAACAATCGTCATCTAATATTCTCGACGATCTCTCTACGAGAAACGGAATCAATTAATTAAAAAAAAAAAAAGAAAACGAGTGTTTTGTACGATATGACGTCGTGCTTAAACTTTGACTCACGTCGTCTCGAGTCGAGGTCGCGGAGTGACATCATGATTTCCCATCTCGCCCACCGTTTAATAAGCGTTTACGGATAATGCGGACGGTGGCTAGCTATGGGCCATTTGACGATGGCACCGACCACTGGAAGAGGCGACCTGGTCAATATTTGTTTAGGACCGGGAGAAAAGCTTCGCCCAGAGAAAAGCCGCTTATGTAAATTCGGCGTCGCGAGGGATAGGCTAGGCAAAATACTCGGATATATCTCTCGAGTTTATCCTCGTTTCTCTCATCCCCCGTCAGACGTATTCAATTCTCCTGTGAATCTTCTTGGTGTTAATGCACCGCGCTTATCTCTGCGTGACGCGTATTAAGAAAATCGAAATAATTCAAATTTTGTGCATTGTATATATGAAGTTTGACGTATTACAATTACAATTGCGAGTTATTTCATTTGTGCGACCTATATATTTTTTTTCGAGAAAGATTAAACCAGTATTTTCATCGTGTCCAAGTACTTATTTTTGTATAAATGCTGCATGAGCATTAGATATGCAACAGCGACTCGCGTCATATTAATTAATATTTCGGTGCCCTAATAATATAAACTAATACAAACTAATATATTAATATTAATATCGAACTATGCAAATTCGCCGGCTAATAAGAGGTCTAAACATGACGAGCATTAATATGTGAAAATTGTGGCTCTCTGTCAAATGTTGCAATCCAATTCGCGCGTTATCAAAGGAACACCGATGCTACGTTTCGCGAGCTATGCGCCATATTAGTGCGAATTGAAATCTAGCATACATCGATTTATAGTGCGCGCAATGTATCTATAGAAGTTTTGATATCAAATTCATACGCTATACGATTGCGTATGATCATGTTTCCGGAAATCACCAATGCGCTTTATGTGCAAATAATTATGGCCCATAATACTGATAAATAATGCCGTGACTTTTGTAATGCTTGCTGTATAACAGAATATAACAGAATAGAAGAGATATCGATAATATAAAATATACTTTGAAATTCGTTATTACAGCGACAACAATAATAATTTACTTGTATAACAAATTCTTGTATTAATAAATAATATAAATTTAATCGTATAAACTGCTTTGAAATTTGATATTACATATGTAGATAATAATAATTTATTTTTATAATAAATTCTTGTATAAAAGATATAACATTAGCTTTATATGCCTATCATTCCCGATCATTTTGACGTTATTTTGCAGCAGTGATACTGTCACGGCAATACCGGTTTTCCAGGAATATATAGTAAATCCTAAAGTAAAGCCCTTTGATTGGAAAATTTGTCTGTTGCATCAATTCAATCTATCCGGATGAAAACTCCCTGTAACAATGATCCCCTTTGCGTTTAACAAGTCGCATTTAAGGGGTTGTGTCTGACCGAAACGTCCGAAAAAAGAAAATGGCAAAAAAAATGTACTGAGACCCGAGAATCAAGAGAGTTCACCCATGGAGAGGTTGATCCATGCCGCGGGGAAGAGCAGAGAAAGGACGAGAAAAGCGCTGGATATATCGGTCCAGACTATGGCAAACTCGTCCGCAGTTAACGATTTAATTAATTTCGCAGCCCCTAGCGACCGGATACCCGCGGTTGCCAACGACGGATCGGATTTCCCGCGGAAATCGAATGAAAATTTTAAGCCCTTTCCCTTCCCGAGGAAAATACGGTGTAAAAAGGCAGCCGGCGGCTGGGGGGGCGGAAGACAAATTCTCCTCCCTCCCTCATCCTCTCTTGCGTTCCAGCGGAACTGCGGCTTTCGCGGAATGTTTATTAAATACCGAAGGTGCTGGTTTATGCCCTTCCCTTTTCCTTCTAAACGGACCGAAATTTTCCGCCCGTTGCGACCAGAAGGGGCGGATATTACCCGCGTATACGAAGGTCAACGTATCGAGTATTCCGAGATCGATCGAGGGTGGAGTCGTAGTCAGACAGAAAATAAAGATGAGAGATCCGAATTGTGTGTGTGTCTCTTAGTAAAATATATCATCACATTTTAATTCACATACGAAAATAATACGTGCAGTAATTGATAAGAAAAAGGAAATCAAACAAATTATTGGTCGAGTAGATTGTAAGAGAGATTTTTTTGAGCAACTATGAGAAAAACCGAGAAAGCAAGAAATAAGATATTTTTCAAAATCAATTGTCTCTTGTTAAATTTGAGGTGATTTGCTGTAATCAAAATTTGTTTCAAAGTGGTAAGTTAGAGACAATTTTTGTGTAATAAATATATAAAGTGGGCACCCCATATCTTCAAATTTACATTTACCTAATCGCGCGTGAAAAGACTTTCAAATGTATCAGCAACTTTAGAACTATTGGAGAAAGTCAAGATCCTATAATATCAATTATATTGAGATTTTGAAAATAGGTGCTAATTTCATAGGGATTCTATACATATTCCGTACAAAACAATATATGCATATATATTACTAATTCTGGGTAATGCTTCTCTTATTGTGCCATCGGGGTAATGTCGAGCTTATTGTAATCACATTTGGACGTGAGGCTATTAACGTGGAAATAAAATGAGAGCGCGATACAGAGGTACTGGTCTCTGTAACTGCATTTGTAATGTAATTCACGTGCAAACTAGATACGACGCAACGTCGGATCATGCAGTCGGATATGAGATGCAGATCGCGCCTGCCGGAATGTTTGCATCGCACCGAATATTCCGTTAGGATGTCTGCAACACGTCGTCGTCGCGAAATACGTGTATCAAAGTATTGCGCATATTCTATCGATCGAGCATTATAAGATTTGTATAATGAGCAAACAATAATACAAAAGTCATTGTAAATTGCAAGAGACATGCAGCTTTTTATGCATGGCACAACTTATCGATTATTGATTATAATTTTGAAAGATACAACGCGTATAATATCTTCATGTACATAAAAACTCAAATACTGTTTAATATTCAACTCTATATTTAACCGATCTAAAATTTTTACATAATAAAATTTAAAATAACAAGTAGATTTTTATATCTTTATTGTTCGCACAGGATATAATCTTATAAGTGTCGAATAAAATAAACGTATAATATACTTACATGTGATAAAAATATCATATAAATCATATCAAATAATTTTCGTTATCAAAGTCCATCGGAGAATTATTGCTAAATAAATGTCGCTCACGCAAGTCCCACGTGGTGAAAAGTATACTATTCGTAGGAAGTTCCGTGAGATTAGTCGGTGTTAATGATAATTTACACTCTCTTCGCGGATGCGAGGAAGCGTTTATTCGATACAAATAGGTGTCTGACTTTCACAAACAAAATGCTTGTGGCCAGCTGGTGGCTAATGCGGTCGGTTGCGTTCGATTTGATCTTCTATGCATCTCATTCACAACTTGGGCAATTAAATCGCAGCTTGCGAAACGTGATAATTTTCCAACGAATTTCCGAGCCAGGCATCCTCAAATCGATCCTCGTGCTTCGATATGCAACCGGCAACCTACCACGCCGTTATTCCTTATACTCGATTTCGCCTTTTTTTCGCGGCACGATGCATCGAAGCGCGAGACGTTGCGAATGAACCGACGCTCTTACAGGCCGGCAAGAAAAAGACCAACGCGAGATTAGGATCGTGCATGCAAAAGCGAGGGAACCCCAGAATTTCGTTGGGAAACGTTTCGATGTGCCTTTTCGAGATGCGCGGCACAAGAACGAGTCGCTGCACGATACGCATCGCCGGAAGCGTAGCGTACACTTTGATTTCCGTCAAAACTCGTCTTCTAGGACCAATGCTTCATTTGTCAATAAAGATTTCTGAATTATTATATCCGAATAAAACTTTAAAATTGAGAATGTTGCGAAAGTAATAATATCCTTAATTGTTCGAGGAGAATTATTTTCAATTTTGAAAGATTTGCATAATTAAATATGATTTAATCGTATCTAATACGCGTAATCGGTATATGACATAAAACTATCTGATGTATAGATAGAAGTGTCATTATACTGGAGTATACTAAAAACTCAACCATATAAATTCCAAGATTGAAATTTCGGATTATACAAAAACTGACGGAATAGAATTTTCCACTTTTCAATTATTACACTGAGAAAAAAGTTATTAACCTACTAAATATTTTCAAC